TCTCTTCTCTCTCTGATTCTCTCTCTCTCTCTGATTCTCTCTCTCTCTCTGATTCTCTCTCTCTGAATTCTCTCTCTCTCTGATTCTCCTCTCTCTGAATTCTCTCTCTCTGATTCTCTCTCTCTGATTCTCTCTTCTCTGATTCTCTCTCTCTGATTTCTCTCTCTGATTCTCTCTCGATTCTCATCTCTCTCTCTCTGATCTTCTCTCTCTCTCTCTGATTTCTCTCGTCTCCTCTCTGATTCTCTCTCTCTCTGATTGCTCTCTCTCTCTGATTTCTCCTTCTTGATTCTCTCTCTCTCTGATTCTCTTCTACTCTGTTACTCTCTCTGATCTCTCTCTCTGATCTTCTCTCTTTCTCTCTCTCTCTGATTCTCTCTCTCTCTGATTCTCTCTCTCTCTGACCATCTCTGTCTGCTCTGCTGATTCCTCTCTCATCTTCCCTCTATTTCTCTAAATTTTCCTCTCTTCTTCGAATTTTCTTTCTCTCTCTGATTCCTCTCTCTCTCTTGATTCTCTCCTCTTCTCTCTCTGATTCTCCTATTCTCTCTGATCTCTCTCTCTAGTCTCTCTCCTGATTCTCCTCTCTATTCTTTCTCTGATCTCTCTCTCTGATTGTCTCTCTAAGTCTCCTCTGATTTCTCCTCTCTGGATGTTCCTCTTTCTCTCTGCTCTAATTCTCTCTCTGCTCTCCTATCCTCTTCTCGTTCTTCTCTGATTCTCGTCTCTCTGTCTCTCTCTGATTCTCTCTCTCTCTGATTCTCTCTCTCTCTGATTCTCTCTCTCTGTCTCTCTCTCTCTCTCTGATTCTCTCTCTCTGTCTCTCTCTCTGATTCTCTCTCTCTAATTCTCTCTCTGATTCTCTCTCTCTGATTCTCTCTCTCTGATTCTCTCTCTCTCTCTGATTCTATCTCTCTCTGATTCTCTCTCTCTCTGATTCTCTCTCTCTCCGATTCTCTCTCTATACCTGATCCTCGAAAAAGAAGTCCCAGATGGTAATAGTTTTCTTTTTTTAGTCTTGATCCTAGTTATTCGGCTACATTTCTTGAATAACCTAAAACCCTTACTAGGTCGTTGAGCTCTGAGAAAAAAGTTGAGACACTCGTCAACATAAAAATCTGGACTATATTCCTTATGGGAAGCTAAAGCGCTTGAGATCTCCGTCTCACTGAGGGTGTCATCTAAATTAGAAGGTGGCTGCGGGATGGGTATTTCATAATCATGGGACACAGACGTCTCTAAGATAGCCGAGCCAATGTCAGGGTAAGATACTTTATTTTTATTTTTTGTATTAAATTTTTTCATTTCATTTCATCCTCATAGGGTTGAGAACAGAGTCAACTCAATCGCGGACTGATCGCGGACATGTGGAATATTGGACACAAGTGCAGATTCCTGACGGGTAATTGCACGAGAAATCTTGAAACATAGGCTTTGCATTGCTGCAGTAAGGAAACTCAATTACTATGAACATTATTTAAGCTTTTTTTCTCAAAATTAGTATGACCAGGTTAAGATTGTCTAGCAATTAAAATTTAAAATGCTACAATAGCATGCACGCGTAGTAATAGTTATGTACGAATGAGTCGTAAAATTAATATAATGTAGATAGAAGTGAATGTGTATATTTCAGGTTTGTTATTCTTTAGGTTACATAATATTTTTGATTATGTATTTCATGATATGGTAAATTGTATTGTTGTAAATTAGATGGAGTCACGATGGGAGCAAGTAACGAAACAAATATTTTCTTAATACATAACAAAAGAGAGTTGCACCGTATTTTGCTGTCGCAACGTTAAACATTTGAAACCTGATATTTTCATTATTTAGGAAGGAGACGATTGTTGCCACCGAAGAAAGCCGCGTACCTCATCCCCATCAAAATAGACGAGAATGTCCAGCACTCCGCACGGAACAACTTAGCTAAACACGATCCAAATTTTTGTACCCGGAGGATTAATTAATTACTTTAAATAAGTAAAAGTAGAAATAAAAGTAAGAGTAAAGGGTTCAGAAGGTAATTATGATAAATGTTTGAAGTCAAAATAAAAAAAATATAATTTAAGTTCACCTATTCGGCTGCACAAATAACACACTTTAGCAGCAACAATTTTATAACGACAGTTGTGATATCCAAATTAGTCGATTCTTCAGCCGATGGCACAATCTGAGAAAAAAAAATTGTATCCATCATTTGCATTTTTTCGGTTTGCATTTTAAAAAACAAACAAAAAATAGTAACTCTAATGAAAGAAAATAACACTTCCTAAAGAAAAACGAAAATATTCGTTTTTATATTTCAATGTACCCTACATTTCCGGAAAATATAAAATCCAACAAACCGCAATCAAAGAAACAGTTTGACACACAGAATTGCCACTAAACAGAAATTGAAAAACAGAATTGCTACTAAAATTTTCTAAAAAACATACGGATAATTGCGTAATCTAATAAATTTTTATTGTAACTTCTTTAATAATCCGTAATATACATAAGAGATAAAAATACAATTTCCTTTATATTTCAATTGGTGGACTGTTAAACCTTGCAGCGTATTAAGGAACTATGATTGTAAGAATTCAAGACAATATACCTCTTTTGCTATCTTGTTTTCCCAACAAGAAAATATAATTATCCTTTTGAAATCTTTAATTTACCAAATAAAAAGTTTCTTTATACACAAACATTCATCGTTTTATATACTTACTTGACAAATGCGTTATATGTGGGTGTGAGATGGTAGACCGCCACTATTGCGAACGGAATGGCAATAGACAGAATTAAGAAGAAAGCAAACACCAAGCGTCCAAAACTGAATTTTCTCGTGTTCCAGTGGTCAACCAAAGGAAACAAGAGAAGTGGTGAGATAAGGTAAAGTTGCATGTCAACGGCCAAATACCAGGAATGCCAGAGGCACTGAGGGAAGGAATGATAATTGTTCAATTAACAGAGAAAAACCAAAGAAAAATTATTATTTTACATTACAAATTAAATTTCAAACTTCGTTCTTACCGCGCTGCTTAAATTGGTGCGGTAATTGTGAATGTAAAGAATGTTTCGCCACCAGTTTGCTCGGCATGGGTTGACATCAGCCGATGAGAGCTCATCCCACAGAGGGCCATCCCCAAAAAATGGAAGTCCACCGGTGTACAGCAATATTACAAACGCCATAAGCGGTGTCAATCTATAACGTAAAGGTTCAGTTCATTTCTTGAGAGACATGTGAAGAAAACTGATACATGTTTACTGGAAGGCCTTATTTAAAAGGGTGATTTTAATGACACGTTGAAATTATGATTCAAATGCATTCCAGGATGTCCACAAGTAAAGAACTTGTATCAATTATTGATGATAAAATTATATTACCCCTTCTACACAGAATTGACTGGGTATACTAGAACTTGGGAAGCAATATCGAGAGTACTTTTAATTTGAGTTTCTATGTTAGAGCCTAAACGTTTAGAGAAACTTCGTAGGTAAATGGGCATATGATGATGATGATGAGATTATATATATATATATATATATATATATATATATATATATATATATATATAATGATATTCAGTGTCTTAATCTTATGTCAACATTTCCTTTTAAATCAACACATCAATACAAATAAATTTGAAACGCATGCGGGGATTTTCGAATAATTATTATTAAAATACATATTCAATTTGCTAATTCGATTTTATAAAGGAATCTTACGTCGAATCAATAATGTCATTGTGTCAGTCAATATGTATGGTTAGATTAAACTCAAGAATTTAAATCAATTACTCAATCTATCAAACGCATTATGGACATTATTCGTGGTACTAACTCAGATTCTGTTTTACTGTAATACCCCCAATAGTTTCAAAGATATAATTTGTTTGTTCAACTCCGACCCCACATTGTGTTGCTTGTTACATAATAGTTATACCTAGCTTGCGCCACAAATATTTTCGAACCTCCAGGCCGATTGTTCCCAAAATTGGAACAAATGCTTTTGGGGGGCCAACATTTAAATAAGCGTGTTTGCATTTTAAAACTGTTACCCCATAAATGTTTCTTTATATTCACTTCAATGTAACTCCCCATAGCGTGGCCTAATCGCTTGCCTTTCAGTATTAAGGTCCCGGGTTTTTACCTCAGCGAGGGGGAGTCTGACGAGGTGTAATGAGGGGGAGGAATAAATAGTGTGGAAGGGGCAGGGTGGACGTGCTGGGAGGGGCCATGCCAATAAAAAAAACGAGGTGCGAGGAAGGACGAAACGTGATGACCGGGAAGAAGTGCTTCAGAAGAACAGGCTGGGTGGACGGGCCAGTTGCGAGCAGGCAATCATGATAGCTTTATAGGGTGGACGGTTTAAGTGACAGCAACATATAGAGATGGAAAGGCCTGAAGTGAAGGGCGGGGGTTGTAGTCATGTCGGCCGTTGCAGGTCAGTACGGTGGATATTGACAAAACATGATGAGCGGAAAGAACAGACACAGCGGACGGTTGGGGTGAGTGGGGCGAGAATTGAAGGCAGGACTATCAAGGCTGGACAGATGGACGGAAAGGGTTGGGCGAGTGGTGAAGGGGCTGCGAGATGGAGGCGAGCTGATCACGTCTGGCCGGAGAGGGTGGTGGAGAGGGCACAGCGTGCGGGACGGAACAAAGTTGGGTCATCAGTTAGTTGTTAAATATATTTACTTTGCCATCAGATCGGTTTTCAAAACAGAAAGAGTCATGTACGTTTCACATTCAATTCTTGTAATTTCTCACTATTTTATCCAGTTCATGTAGACTTATGTCGAATTGTCAAGTGTAAGGATTATAATTCTCGAGATAGATTTCCCACAAGCGAGTTAATAATCAAGCCGTAGGCACATTTCACATTACTTATTTTGAAAGGTGTGCTTTCTGACCAAACGACCTTTTGTTCCCTAAACTTCGGCTATTATCCTTCTTTTCATAGGGATCACAGAATTCCAACAACTCGCTTAATACTCATCAAACGCTCTGCGTACCGGATGTATCTGTGCAGGTAGAAGGCGGGCAGCCAGGAGCGCAGCTGGCGGAGGGAGCGCGGCTGGCGCCGGCGGGTGCAGGCAAACGAGTAGGCCAGCACGCACCCGGCCACAAAGAGGAAGGTGTCGACAGCGAGGAAGCTGAGCGGGAAGTAAACGTGCAGCCACCCTAGCAACCGCTGCGACAAGTCCCTCTTGTTCAGCAATGGTAGATTACGCATCAGCCATTCCCGGTGGGAGATCACCACGCTCACCATGGACAGTGTGCGCAACCCGCCGAGCGCCGACATACGCGAAAGCGCCCAGCTCCAGTCGCCGGGGTCCTTCGCGCCCACGCGCTGCACACAAGGAGCGAATCACATCTAATAATCACAGTAGGAACAACGGAGGCTGCGTAGGGTTAGAATAAACAAAAATGGTTTTCTTTCGGCTACGTTCTTGACTCCCTTAGTACATTGTCATGTCTTTATTCGGCATTAAACATCGTAATTAGTTTTAAACGTATTCGTAATTAAAGTTCAAGGAGTAATTCTCCCTAATAATGGCCTCGGAATTAAAACTATGACGACTAAGGCAATGAAAATGGGAGTACCAAAACGGATATCGGAATATTTCAAAACAGTTACCTGGAATGTAAGAAGTATATCAGGGAAATAAAATGAACGGGCACATTTTTTGAAAAGATGAATATCAACCTAGCCGTAGTAATGGAAACAAAAAATAAATTAAAAGGATCAAAATATGCCATGTTTTATAGTGGAGTAGATCAGAAAGAGAGAGAGCTGCAAAAGGAGTAGCCATATTTATAAACAGAAAGTAGGAATCAAGAATTAAGGAGGTTCAGTTCGTCTTCATTTTTAATAATGTAATTGCCTATGGTATCGTATTGCAACCGGCCCTCGCTAGAAGAAGAATGTGTGGCCCCGAGCAAGCACTGAGGCCTATGAATTAGGGCTTAGATCGACGCCGTTAGGTTGAGGCTAGCCGGGACCCGCCCGCTGGAAAGGCCAGGAACGTAGGAGCACAACATTCCAGATGTATTTTGGGAACTTCTCTGAAATGTAGGAGTTAACAACGTTTAAGTCTATTGGCAGAACCGCGTGAATCAAATGTTGCTGGTTGCCACGCGAAGGGGAGTATGACGTCGCGATGGGAGATATCCCGCTTTCTAGAGCAGAGGGTCTTTCAAATTGTGTTTACATTCCGAAATTTGTTTTCTCCCTAACATTACATTACTTCTCGACCATACGTAACACAATTCAAGCCTAGCAGTGGAATTCGTAATGATATTGCGGTCTCCTTACCTTCACGGCCTGTACCTCGCGTGATGCCCCAGATCCCGAATAGTTGCGAGAACCATCCCCATTCCCTTTAGTATCTCCACCTCTAGCGCCCCCTGCTCCTGGAGAGTGACGTTTGAGGCAGGGGCGGGGATCGGATGCCCCGCTGATCTTCCTCCAGGCGGCGACGGGCGACATGGCGTTGGCCGTCTCGGGCGAGGGCTGCCAACCCACGGGCAGCCTTCGCCGCACGCCCTCGTACGTCAGCAGGAACCAGCCCAGGGCGTTCAGCACAGCCAGCAGCACTACCAACCTGCACAGGCACACGCCCACTTCCAAGCACACTATGCAACAGCCACTGAAGTAACTTAACGCTTATGCCCAACATTGTACGTCAGCAGGAACCAACCCAGCACGTTCAGCACGGCCAGCGGTACCACCACACGGCCAGCAGTACAGGCACACGCCGCAATTCAACTCAAGCACACTATGTAATAGTCAGTAAAATAACTTAACTAACATTGAGCGTCAGAAGAAACCAGCCCAGGGCGTTCAGCAAGGCCAGCAGCACTACCACCCTGCACAGCACCCGCTCCACTACAACTCAAGCACACTATGCAATAGTCAGTAAAAATAACTTAACTAACATTGTACGTCAGCAGGAACCAGCCCAGGGCGTTCAGCACGGCCAGCAGCACCACCACCCTGCACAGGCACACGCTCCCCTTCAACTCAAGCACACTATGTAATAGTCAGTAAAATAACTTAACTAACATTGTGCGTCAGCAGGAACCAGCCCAGTGCGTTCAGCACAGCCAGCAGCACTACCAACCTGCACAAGCACACGCCCACTTCCAAGCACACTATGCAGCAGCCACTGAAGTAACTTAACGCTTATGCCTAACATTGTATGGCAGCAGGAACCAGCCAAACGCTTTCAGCACGGCCAGCAGCAATACTACCCTGTACATGCACACGACCCACATCAAAGTGAAGCGCACTCTGCAACTGCCACTGAAATAACTTAACGCTTCAAGTTAGCGTAAAGTTGCAATGTCGATGTCTCCGCAAGTCTAAACATCCTTATTAACATGCATTCAAGGAAGTCAAAACTAAATTTAAGATTGCATGTGAGGTTACATCTGTATGTAGATTTTCACTTTTTACTTTCAAAGTTTGCTGTACAAAATTAGGACTTTACAAAAAGTCATGTACATTTTTTTAAAGTTAGGTGTTTTTAAGTAATTTGAGCTTGAATTTAGGATTTTTTTCTCCAAAACCGCTCCAAAGTTTTCTTCACAAATGTAAAAAGAGATGGTAGGACATATGGTGCTAGTCATATTTTCGGGTATTCCTCGTTTTTTCGAGAATTAAAAAAAATACAAAATTGAATATTGAGGTTTTTGTCGCAGGCAAAGTCTGTTGTACAAAATCACGTGTTTAAAAAATGTTGTAATTCATTTTTTGAAAAACTAGTCGTTTTTTGCCTAATTTATGTTTGAAATTTACAAAAACAGGTTCTTAAACAGATTTCGGATATTTCTCCTTTTTTTCGAAAAGTTTGGAGGAATTTTAAAATTTAATACTTTTTGCCAAAAAAATTGTTGTTGTAAATAATCTATTTTAACTCATTAATTATTTAAGTACAGGTTGTATAGAATGGTGCAGACTTTTTCGCTCTGGTTAGTTTTCTAATCTCTCTACACTTGACTAACTCTCATGACAAACCTAATTCTCTTCACGGCTGCTTTCATTTTGTCGCCAGAAAACATTTTTTTAAATAATTTTCTCAATCACTCGGTTTCGTAGTGCTAGAACTGAAACCACCACACATTATTATTATTATTATTATTATTATTATTATTATAGAATATATTCAGAATATATTCATTACAGATATAGTGTATTCATTTCATATCCAAACTGGGTAGCCGAGTTCCTATTCCCCATACAACCCCGTGGTCGAGGTTGGTTAAATAATGTGTAATTTCTCTGTGCTTCGGAGGAAACGTCGGCTTGTTTTAGCCTCGCTCATGTATAATAATCTGTCACAAATCTGTGTTGTCGAACAGAACTATTGAATATTGCAGAAACGTAATGAATAATTTTTTGAAGAACGTTTACTAAGAAATACAATCAATTAAAATAAATTTGACGTGTGTATATGATTTTCGAATTTGCAACTTTAAACCCCCTGGTTTTTTCAATTATTTCAGGTCCGTAATGGTAAAACTGAAACAGTTGTGTCATAACTAATATGGTTGTGTATAGGTCTTGTTCTCCTGGATAGTTGAAATTGTTAAGTGACATGTTCGGTTCACTACTTGAAACCAAGAAGTCGCAGATTCAAATCCCACACGGAGATTTTATTTCGATGAAAGTGTTGTTGTAAATAACTATTAGAGATTCGAGAAACTTTATTGAACACCAGTTAAAGCATTCTAGGCTAGAAAGAAAGTGCTAGAAAGGTAGTTGGCAGGTGGAAATCGACGCAGAGGGAAAAGTTTAAGCAGGGGTGGAGTGTGTGAAACATATAGAGCGGAAGGGATTGAAGGGGTGTAGTGGGAGGAATGGGCAGAGCAAATAGAAAGTCGGATAGGGTTTCATTGTGTGTGGGGGGGTGTCAGACAGAGCACACAGGCGACTCTGCACAGTACATGATTAGTGCTGAGGCAATTCCCAAAGGAAGTCGTTTACACATCTAGAGCGAAGTAGTGAGTTGGCTCACCCGAAGGCGACGAGGGCTGGGTGGAAGGCGAAGGGGTTCGGCGGCGGCCTGGCTACGTGTGGGCGGGCACGCGCACACACCAACGCCGGCGCTGCCGTTGGCCAGCAGCGCGTCCAGCGAGCGCAACGTTGCACGTGGAAGGCACGCACGTGGCGATGCGCTGGCCGATGGCGGCGCGCCAGGCAGTAGCGGCTCCGCGAACAGCACTGGGGAGCGGGCGCGCAGGCACTGGTCGTAGTCGCCCAGGTGCAGGGTGAAGGTCCCGGCCCAGCAGCGGCTCCGGGAGCTTTCGCCGTGCGTCCCCACTGCGCACGCGCCGCGCCACACTCTCTCATGCTCTGGTTAGTGTTTGCGGCGACGTCTATTGCTAGCACGGAAGTTCGATGAACCCTTCTTAGCAGCTAAGAAAGCCGAGAAAATGTTGGCCGGCTTCCGGGCGGAGTTGCTTGGTTTACTCTCTTATGTAAAAGCCCGGAGCAGGTCGTCGGCAAGCATTACGCCATAAACACAGCGCTTGATTTGAATCATGGACACAACTGCGTGTGAAGGGAGTCCGCGTGAAAGCCAGAGCAGGCCTTCGCCACGAACTAATTTAGACAGCCCAGCGGCCCGAGCCATGAGCTTCCTACCGGAAGACGATGTGCGTGTGTGTAAAGCTTTTAACTGTTGTGGCTGTGCTGTGTGGTGGAAAGGAGACGGGGAGGGAAAATGATGGTCGAAGAAATGATCGCGGGGTGGTACGTGATCCGTTCATGAAGCAACTGTTGCGGTTTTAGCTTGTTATTGAAAGAAGAAGGAAAAGCACGGGTAACTATCCGTCATAAGCTGTCATCACCGAAGAATTATTCCCAAGGCTGCGGGTGATTTCCCACTAGTAAACTGTCCTAGTGCCAAAATAACCAACAAATCTTTAACCTCTTCCCAGAGAAATTATTGAGGAAAATTAGGTTAGCACTGATCTCTCTCAGCTGGTGACTGCGTCTCGCGAGGTGCAGAAGCACCACATCTAAGGCGAAAAGAACCGAGTGTTAATATGAGCCTGAGCAAGAAAAAAACAATACACTAACTACGCTTACTCCATAAACGCGGCATGGATATGCGCCAAGATTCATTTAGTAATAAATCAAAGCAAATATTAATCCCGAGCTTTTTTGCGATGGAGGATATTATGGATGCCTCTGCCCCCACATGTGCGAAGGGGATTGCGACATTATGTCTCGCTGATCATGCAGGACTCACGTGCGCAAAGTGCTTTCAGATGCCGCCTGAAACTGATCTGCACAACTCCTTCATACTCACGGGAGAATTTGCGAGCAATCGCTGGCGTCACGGCACCTATTTAACAGGGCTTCCTTAGAGTATTTTTGAAGTGATTACTCTCCTCTGTTACGATATAAAACATTATGTGCGTAAACTGACGAAACATTCTGTGCGAAAACTGGCGAAACATTTCCTGCGTAAACTGACAAAACATTCTCTGCGTAAACTGACGAAACATTCTCCGGAACTAATAGTGGGAAATTTTAAAGAGATCAGTTTAGATCAGTATTTTGAAGATTTTGACACGACCGAGTTCGAATTGTACCTCTTGTAAGGAACGTCAATATTAGAAGCTTAATACTATTTAGTATAATGTGAAACGTTTTAAATACACTATTGCTTTCGTCTAACGTGTTTGGGCTGAAAATAGGAACAATAATGTTGGAGCTTTCCGTGACGTTCCTTTTAAACTGTATGCTGCAACAAAACTGTCAATAGTACGAATCAATGCATTAGAAGTTCTATTATTACGTTTTCTTCCTCTAATGTATTTGAATAGGGAAAATTCATGTTTAAGTTCATTTGAGCTGTAATTATGCTCACTCGTCAAAAAATCTGTTACTGCTTCTTTTCAGTTGATTAAGATGGTGGTAGCTACGAGTATCAAAAGTCATGATGTCTCTATGATTGGCAGATGTTTATGATACGCATAAAAATTGGATTAGACACTTATGAGCTCAAATTTGATAACAACGTTTGTAGTAACATCGAGTTGTGTCTTAACGGAGATAACTATATTTTCATTTTGGAGGCATTTTTCTTTTTTAGTCATACTATCTATTACTATATTAGGAATGCTCTAATTTAAGAAAATGTATCCTCTTTTTACACCTATCGTGTTCTTTGAAAAGTTGTTTGATTCTGCACTTTACTTACAACGTTTAAGCGATTTCATTCGTTTTATCAATTCGCTTCATTTTCGTATTCTGAGGGTAAGTGGGAAATTTACCTTTGTCCCTTTTAAGGTCTGTCCTTTCGATAACGCAATGGCTAAGTGGTGATATTTGTTATTGTCTCCAGAATATCAGTAGATTCTTTTTAATATGAAAATTACATTGACAACGTGAAGAAAATATTTACACTTTCAAGACAAATTAAAATTAGCGTTACATGTTTTATCTCGAAAAGAACTTCGCCCTGTAAATATAGCAACGTAAATTGCTGTATTTTCAACTAGTTTTTCATACAAACAAAAAACAAAACAATTTAGAACTTTTATTTTTCTAATTACTTTTCGGGGTCTTAATATGGATTTTAGAAATCACTTTATTTCATCATATCTGTAGATCGTAGGCTTAATTCATCACAGGTAAGAAAACTTCACACTGTTGTGGAAGCCTAATAATTTATTGTAACAAATTTGTGTCAAGTTCTAAATAACTATACTTCAAACAGTCACAAACATTATTTAAATGTGATTTGTAAACTCTAAAAGCGTGCATATTTTTAACTTCAATCGTTCTTTAAAATCATACCTCCATACTAAAGTGAACATAATTACCGCAATTTAAAGAATTTTTTCCATTAGTGGCAAGTTTTCCTGAAATCGCTTGATTAATACTACTGAATTGAATATTATCGATTTCAAAAATGTATAATTGCCCGAATTTCTTTACTCCACATTCTGAAATTGAGGCTCCACGTGATTTAGTTTATGTTCATCACATAGCTAAAATTGAAGTCGTTACCCAAATATTTAATTTGCTTATCATTGTCAACAAAAAAAATATTTTCCCCTCGAAAATTATTTCACTGACACATTAAGGACAAGAGTGTACTAATTAGACACCATTCTACTTTGTAGCAAATAAAACCTATTTTCGGAACCTGATTAAAATCAATGCAAGATAAACTGCTTGCAAAGAGAGCTCAGAAGAAAAGGATTGCGCAGCCTCCCGTTGCTTAAGCAGGCCTCCTCATGCCCTCACTCATGAGAGCCTATTGCTTGATTTGTATCAAGCAAAACAAACTGCATGTGAAGGGCACCCTCTATAGCGCAGGCCTTCGCACGCACTCTCCCATGAGAGCCCACCGCTTGATTTAAATCAAGGACCACAAACTGCGTGTGGAGGGCATCACTTGTAGGTAGAGCAGGCCTTTGCACGCTCTCCCTCCTGAGAACGCCGCGGTTGATTTGAATTTAGGACCGCAAACTGCGTGTGAAGGGCGTCCCTTGTAGGTAGAGCACGCATTCGCACGCACTCACTCATGAGAGCCCAGCGCTCGCGCGCCAGAGCTCCGTCCATCACTCGGCGGATGTCCCCGGCGCACGCGGCGACGGACGAATCGTTCCAGAAAGCGGCGCCCGCGGCCGCCTGCTTCAGCACCTCGAACACGTTCACCATCGTGGGCTCCGGGTCGTCTCGCGGCCCCTGCATGGCGATAGCGGCGGCGGCGACTGGGGGCTCGCGTCGCCGGCGCGCATATTTAACAACGCTGAAGGTGTCTTCTTCCGCCCCCGCGCGCTTACCTGCCTTAGAGGGAGCGCACCTCCACTCCCATCCCGCCGATCATGTCTCGGCTCGGATGCAGTGTGTGGTGGGAGGTGCGGTATCAGTCCAGAAGGGGAGGATATAACGGTTTTAAGTCTTCGATTGGAGAGACAGGAATGGAAAAAAGGAAAGGAAAAGAAGGAGACAGGAATAGGAAAAAAATCTACGCATAATTTAGGCGCTAGTGATGTTCACAGATGGACGGACGGACAGACGTACAGACATACCGACAGACTGACGGACTATTTGAAAATACACTTTTTTGGTATCAGGGGACTTCAAAATGTGTACGGGATATGAACCGACCTTATTTAAATTTCAAAATTTTAACAATACTGCAGATTTTCTTGATAATTGTTAAATTTTAGTACAGCTACGTTCTGACGCTTTTTTTCTAAAATGCACAAAACTGCACATAGCATATTAGCATTAGCCCTAATGATAAATGCGAAAATTCAGATCGTTACCAATGATTTGATAAAAAATTGTCGCAACAGAGTTTTAGAAAAAATCTGATAATCAGAAATGGTCGCTCCCGTGTATTTAAATTATTTTTCATCAAATGACGAACTACAAATATGACATCAAATTATTTTCGTCAAAATAACCTAACTCCACTTTCTTCTCGTAATTACCGAAACGAAGGCTCAAGAAAACGTGCGCGGATAATACTACATTATTTATATCTATAGAAGAATACCTGTATCTATAGAATCGTGCATATTATTCTTATTCAAAATCTATTAGTCTCTTTTTATCGCTCATTCCTTAATATTCAAACTGTGATATTGAAGTCAATACACGTTTACGGACAACGCAGTTCAAGAAGGGAAATTATTTTTCTGAAACAAGAATGAATAATGAAATATAACGAATAAAAAAATATGACAACAAATGGTATTTATTACTCACAGGTGAATATATTAGTTTTATTATCTTTGGCTCAGAAGTACTGTTCTTAAGGTACGTAAAAATATGTGAGAGTTCTCGCACGGGCTCTGTAGTCTTACCAATAATAGTACTAATAACAATAAGTGTAAAAATAAACTGATTATCAAAAAGGAAAATAATGTTTATTTTAACAACACAGTGACTTAATATGTTTGTAACAAATTATGTACTTCAACTTCCCGGTCAATTACCGCCATCTCCATCAGGTTTTTGTCAAGTTTCGCTGATCCATTGAGCAAATACTGAAATGGCCCCTTGTTTTGCTTCTGGTCGTTAATGTAGCTTCACTATGCGGACTTATTGTTGAACTCTCCTTTTGCTTGTAATGTTAAGAGCAGAGGTAAGGGCGAGTTGTCATTTTCTTAGCAATGCAGAAAAATCATATTTGCAATTCGTTTACCTATGCAAATACGTTTTCTATAACTCAGAAACGAAAATGACAATTTTTCAAATATTGCATATTTGAAATTTTTTTAAATTTATTTTTATCTATTTATGCTAAGCTTTTACTCATCTTTCAATTATTTATAGTTGAGATGACGGGAATGGATTTTGGAACTCAAGAAAACGTGCGCAGATAATTTTCCCCCCTACGTCACATACAGTTTGTCCTGTTTTTTTACTGAATAAATCTATTTCTAAACCTAAATGTCTCAGTATTAATAGGAATGATCTACATTTAATTGAGGCATATTTTAAATTTAACTTCACCAGGAAGGAAGAGTCTTCAACTTTATGAAGGTGTTTGTTTTTAATGTATATATTACGTTCACAAGGTGAAATTGCTTTTATCATATTTTTTCTTTCCCAATCGAATTTTCTAAGAATGGTCCCCATCTGAATTACATAATATTGGTTTCTGTATCATTACGGTGTTTGACCCTTTTGGTTGCCCTCTGTAATGCCACAAATGAACATTAAAAATAAACATGCTTTACGTGTTTCTAGCAAAAGACCCGCATTCTTCTCCTTCATCAAGAGCACAATTCTCGAGTGCATTACTCGTGATAATTAAGGTTGTTTAAAAAAACTTCCAATTTTTTCACGAATTTGACTGTTTTTACTTCTCGTATACATACGTATATACGGAGTAATATACATAGTATAGTAGAAGTTATGCAATGGTGCGGAATATAGGTTTCAAGATTTCAACGGAAATTCACGTTTTGGGATCCCCTGATACCGAATTTTATTTTTTCAAAACATTCGTCCATCCTTCCATTCGTCTGTCTGGTGTGTGTGAACAACACTAGCGCTTAAACCATGCGTAGGATTTTTTCAAATTGAACAAACCCCTGTCCATTGAGCCTGCGATTTTGAAAATCATTCATTAGAGTTAGGGGTTATTTTACATCAAGCCCCAAGACACATTTCCAACATTTTCACAAAATTTTTTAAGAATGTAACTACACTTATGAAGGTGGCATAGGTCCGATTTTCACAGTAAACACTAAACTTTCGAAAATTGCGAAAGTTGTAACATTTTCGGGATCTTCCTACAAACACAAAATTAAAGATAAAGATTTTTCTTTAAAAAGAAATGTCGATAAGTTGTTCTTTTATTAATGTCAGGTACATTTTTTGAAAATTTTAGTTCCTTTCGTGCAATATTGCGCACAAATTGTGCAATTTTTAAAAAATTACAAAAACCAGTGTTCCTCAAAAACTGCTTGTGCTAAATGCACTATACAAAAATACATAAACGCTCTATTTTTCTATTATTTTGTTTTTTTTAATTACAAATCGCAACTTTTTTACTTGTCTCACACTTCGGTAATATTTACAATAGAGGCAATTTGTTTACATTATCGTATTTAAGTACATATAGTTTAACTAATATCAGATAGAATTTTTCGAAAACTCAATAATTTTCCGTGATAATACGCTTGAAATTTCGCATTTAAGAAACGCATAAAAGCCGTTTTTTAAAAAGTACTTAAAATTTTGTCTTTTTCCAAGAAAGTGTGCTAATTGCCCTGTTTACGGTGACATATATATTTTACTGTATTTATTTGTTTTTAAAAAGATATAAAAACGAAATTTTTTTGAAAGATCTCTCACCCCATTAATATGCATATTTCCAGCGATTTGTAAACACTTGCATTTGTGAATGGAAAGGCTTGAAATGACTTCAAAATACGTTTTTCGAAAACTCAGTAGTTTTCTGTGAAACTAGGTTCAAAATTCGAATTACCATGCTATTAAATGCTATTTCTTTAAGAGACTAAACTTTTCATACAAAAATATTAGTTAGGACGAGCTTTTATTGTTCTTTAAATTCTTAAAATAATATTTCAATTCTACAATTGGGAAGCAGAAAAAAATAGGAAAAAAAAGTACTTTGGGCGGCGATAGATGGCAGCTGGCAAGAGTATGTCGCAAGTCCGAATAGCTAGCCGAGATTAATGAAAATAGAAAACAAATACGGGAAAGTCTGTGCTGTTCTGTACCAATGTGGGAGAATGATACGCATATCAACACAAATATAACCATACCCAGGCGGGACTCGAAACCGCGATTAATCAGCCACGAGAACGCTTCGATTCTACTGCCTTAGAGATCTCGCCCATCTAATCGGAAATTATTATATTCTTTGTAAACTTATTTTTATATTCTGCGCTTCGTCTGCAGCGTGTCATTATAAAATTAGGGGATCGTAGATATTTTAATTTAATTAGTTTATTAGTATTCGAGTTTTGTTGTTTATCAACTGTGTACTGTAATGTCGCAAAAATCAATGACTTCTGCTGGATACCTTTTTAATGGAGACGTTTCAGGTCACAACAAAGCACAGTACTAGTAGAAGACGGCAGGCATAGTTTAATTGATACTTTCAGAAGGAAATACACAAAAAACTCGTCACCTTTTCGAACAAAAATGAGCCTGTGAATATTTTCTTTAAGTTAGTTTTAAAATTTAGCTCTTAATGATAATGACAAATTCCTTACCATATTGGTAATTAGACCAATGCTCGCCCCGGCTAGTTCAAAGAGAACATCATTCAAAATATGTCTTAATATGTATCTCAAAGAGCGTTTGTCTTGTCTCAGAGCGTGGTTTCCTTTACAAACGGAGAACTCACCGCTTGCGTTCCCCTCTGCGCTCGTGCGCTCGGCGCTGTCCCTAAGCAACTGTGGGAAGCTCTGCGCCGAGGTGCAGCCGCCGAAGGGGTGGACCGACGCGTCTGAGGCGCGGGGCGGCGCCGCAGGCGGTGGCTGGCGTGCCTCCGTCCGGGAGAATGGGTGGCCTCCGATCCGCGCTGGCGACCTTGTTCCACTCTCACCACTCGGTGAAGCTCTTCAAAGTTTAGTGCGCCGTAGCAAAGGCTTTTGTTATTCGCGTTGGATAAGATGAAAATACAAAGAACACGAACAAGCTTGGAAAAACAACCGCTCACCAGTCTATTCCACTTTGCTGATCATTCAAATTAAAACACACATTCAAAAACACGTTAATTTCCGTATACTAAGAATTTAAAATAGTACTGCACAGAATAAAATTAGAATACCTCATTACGTAACTACTCCAAAACCAGAACATGACTTGTCTTAACCAGCAAACCCTTGAACTCTCGCCCCTTCGTGAAAAACGTAGACCAATGTGTGCACCCTAACTCCACACCGCCATCGCCTGCACACCCCCTCCCACATCCACCAGCCCTACGTCTCTCACCCATCCGCCCTGCGCCCCTGCTGCGCCCTCGCCCTCGCCTCGCCCTCGCCTCGCCCTCGCCTCGCCCTCGCCCTGCCCTGCCCCTCCCCTCGCCCTCTCGCCCTCGCCCTCGCCCTCGCCCGCGCCTCCCGCGCCCTCCCGGCGCCGCCTCCTGTCGCCCTCGCACCTCGCCCTCGCCCTCGCCCCCGC